CTTCCTGCGCTGTCAAGATGTGGCCAGGGCCATGGGAACCCACCTTGGCAGCTGCTCTGCTGTTCATTTATCAGTGTCAATGTTAGACCTTTGAAAAAACACCAAGCAAAAATATATCTATCATGCAGTCCCCAGGCAAGCTTTTAAACGATGTGCATTATCAGGGCATCTCTAACCAAATAAAAAGTACTTTTTCCCGATAAATTAGTAACATTAGGGCACTGACGAATAAAAATGCAAAGGTATTAAATTTCTGGCAACACACAACTCTGGTTGTTATTCAAAGGACAGTATAGCCCTGATTCACACTACTCCAACAGACCAGCTTTGCACATACACACAAATACACACACGCAATTCTCTCTATGAAATACTGGCAGACCAGTCACCCTCCCAGTGCTGTCCGACCACAGCTCTTCTCTCAAACCAGGCCATAGACCTCGCATCTGTTGCCATGCCCTCCCACATCTGACCACCGGGCCACAAACAGGATTGTATCTGTTCTCTTCTCAGGTGACCACCATTTAGTTTGGGTTACCCAAGATGCCTTCTCCAGCAGCAAAGAGCACTTGTGGCTGAGCCATAGAAACAGCTTTCTGGCGAGAAGATTTCCATCGTACTGTTCTGTATGAAGCTCCCTTCTCTCCTTGGCAACAACCTGTAAAACCCAGTTCAGGAAGGCTGTCTTGCAGGAGCATCCTCTCCCACAGGTCTCTAGTTAGACTGGTCCATGCAAGTTGCTTCTGACAACCAAACTCCCCACTCACCCCTCCCGGCATGATGATTTTTAACTGTTTAACAACCACAGGCTCAAGCTTTGCTGGCGCAATAAAGCAGATTTTGTCCGTAAGACTTGTTATGGTTAGTGGTTTAGCCATGCCTCTGTTATATGGGTAGCAGTTTATCTATACCCACTAGTTGCTCTTCCTGGTTGTTTTTTCTAACTTCCCACTATTCCTGAAATAACATCAGCATTCAATTATCACCACTAATGGAAAATACCTTGTCATTCCAGGGAAGGGATGATACGGTGCTGTTTCCTGTAACAGCAGAGCCCTTGATTCACACTAGGTCACAGCGTGCACCTCTTCTACCAATACCAGCCCTGACCAAAGTACAGTGGGGCTCCTCCTGATCCTGGAAGTCCTTCCTATGGAGTCAGGGTGTAACCAGAGCACACAGCTAGATCGGAGAAGCATTTTTCAGATCTTGCAGTTTAGACACTGGCTTTGTGAAACAGCAGCTCCTTTCCGTGGCCGTGTTCTCTGCAAAGAGCAATCCCCATCCAGGTAAGGGCTGAAGAGCACGGGATAGCAATGTGCTGCCGCACAAGGACACTCCTAGTCATTACAACCCAAACATGTTACTGTGGCAAAAGTCGTTAAGTCAAGCAAGCTCCCCCAGACTGTCAGACCATTCGGAAAATACCTGCCAGCTGGGACACCACCAGACTTCTCTCAGCAACTTGAACAAACCGCATTCCTTGGCTATTCCCTAGCTGTCTTCCATTCCCTTACTGTTGTGTTCAACCCACAATAAGCAGTACATAAGTCTTAAATGGTATGTTGAGGTTAATGAACACAATTCTCGAGGCATAGTAGCATTTTCCTCCTGTTATTTTGTCACTGTCTATATAGTTTAGAAATCGATTTTCAAAGTCAACTCTTTACTGCTGCTGACACCTACCTGAGCTGAATCCTATAAAGAGGTAAGAGCTGCTCACTTACTTCACTTTTTTAATATTGTTTAATCTTGCAAAAGAAACTTTCCTGTTTCCACAGGAGTTCACGCCTAGCAATCACTATTCCAAAAAACATACCCTGCTTGTATAATTCTTTTTACTTTGTAAAAGTTTAAAAATACAAGTAAAGGTCATATGCTAATTTGACATTTCAAAATCATACTCAGACCTGAAGCTTCATAAAAGTAAGTTTGATTATGACACTTGATGTACTCTACATACAGGAGCAGCTTAAAATTACTTCTTACTGCTTTATGAACCGAGATTTTTTTGCAGTAAGATATAATTTTAAAAGACCTTAAGTAGTGGAGAACATCTAGCCAAAGAATTTTTTTATCATTATTGTGCTAAAATAACAGCAGATGTACCAAATAGAGTACCTTCTGAAAATTCTTGAGCAATCACAGTTCACATTTCACCAAACTGCCACACAAAGAATTTAGAACTAAAAAAAAAACTTCTCTTTTGTCAATGTTGTTAGTAAAATACACACTTCACTATTTGTCCTTGGAATGTGTGAATTTTAACATACCAAAATAGAAAAGCAGAAAATCTTTAAAAATGGGGGGAAACCCTATCATTCCTTAGGAACACTGAAGATGTGCATAATACCTAGGCTGCTACTTCCCATGTTCACCTCAACATCTCATTACTACCCTGTGTTCCTCCATCCTTATCTTCTCCCTTGTTCTTTTCAAGTTTGTAAACTCTTCAGAGCAGGTTTCCTTTTTTATACAAGGCTTGACACAACAGAGGGCATCTTTCCACCACAAAAGTAATATAGAGCAATTGATATAGAGAATATTAATAGAGAATATTATTCTTTTACAAAAGGAAATTGAATCTTAAATTGTCCTTTTATATTAGCTGGCTTCATTCGTCACTGATTTTTCAGAACGCTTCAGATTCTGCCTCAGAGGAATCACCTGACTGACACTGAAAGATCTGACGGCTGGTTGGGGACAGCTGGGATTTTGGACAGCTAGAAAAGCCTAAGAGGCTATTTAAATTACGAATCAAGCATAACAGGCCAATAATTATGTTTTAAAGATGACCCTGAAACTATCAACTGCTAATACCACCATGAGATTTCTGAGTTAGCAACAAACTGAGATATATTGAACCTCCTCCTGAGAAAACCCAATAGTTTCAGGTTGGCTGCAGATGTAGAACACCACTTGTCATATTCACAAGGTTTTCTTCATAGCCAGAGCGCTGGAAAAGTAGCAGAGCAAACAGCTGTCTGTTTTGTACACAATTTTGTAACTATTTATGACACGATCAGGTACTGGACTCCGATCTTCAACTTTTGATTTCCAGTCTGAGAAGCTTACAGCCTGCCTGCACATGCCCTCTACATACAAACCACACTCAAAAGGCTGGACTCCCAGCTGCTGAATTAGCTGCTCAGCTCCCGAGCTCAGCAGCTGAGAAGACAGAGGAAGGGCCAGAAAGCTGCGACTTGCAAAGGGACTCCACAGAACAGGCAGATTAAATAGGTCATCAGTCCTTAAACAGGTTGAAGGAGGTCATTCCCTTAGAAGGGTTCTGCTGCTTAGCTCAAAGAAAAAGGTGGTTTCCTGATCTCCAAGATTGTTCATCCCTTTCCTTTATTTGCAATTAAAAGATTAATTAAAAGAGCCATTCATAGCAGTGGATGTGGAACAGACAGTATCATCATTTCTTTTGCTGTTTTATAGAGTACAAAGGGAAAAACAAGATACGTGCAGCAGTTACGATTTATTCCATACTTGAGTCTCACACTCATTTAGTACCGGATGAGACCATCTTGGGAAGGCGGGGGAATTCTGCCTGGGAACTCAGAAGCTCCAGGTAGGGAATGTCTTGTAAAGAACCTTCTTACCTCTTATAGTTGTAGGTAAGGTTGCTTACATACTGACAGTTTAAAATGTAGGCTAAATAAAATCATGCAGCAAGAAGCGTTTTGCTTGGTAACTACTTTCACTATTACATTATTTACTTATTTTGAGTATATGTTTAACTGTTAGTGGGGAAAAAAAAGGAAAAAGAAAAAAGCTCCAATAGGCAAAACATGAAATTGAACAGTAATATAGAAACCGGGTCCGGAAATAAGACACTGACAAGTTTTTATTTTAATTTTTATTACAAAATTATTAAAAAATAATCTGCTAACATTTAAAGTTTAATTTAAAAACCTTCACAGCTCATCAGACTACCAAAAAGGAAATGAATATAAAGAAAGTATGCAATGCATTTTGTTCTCCGTTATAAGGGAGTCAGAACTCAGGAGCTTGCCATCAGGAGAATCAGCTTGTCCGGCAGCTCTGCCTCTGCTGCTGCAAATGAGTAAGTGGCAGAGGCTTCATTAAGTCTCCTTTTTTTATTTTTCAAAGCAAATCTAAGGACAGCAAAGGACACACAAAGTGTACTATTCTTAAAAAAAAAAAAAAAAAAGGAGAGATAATTTTTATGCTAGCTGAAAAATACAGCTCACCAGCATGGCTTTTTAATGTTCCAAGAACGTAAGGAAAGAGAATTTTTAAAATACTTAGAATCTGTTAAAATTTCAGTTAGATCTAACAGCTTCATATGCAGAATTTGTAAGATGTTGAGACTGATCATTTACAATGTACTCAAAGAATTAACAACATATATAGAAAGATGGAATTGCTGCCTGTTTTAAAAGTGTAATTTTACATAGAATATGGCCAGTCAACAATTAATTTGCCAATTAACACAAGCACTGCTCCTTTTATTTCCTTTGAGGTAGACAGGCATACACAAACATGTAGGAGGATACACTGCCTTCATAATTATTTTAGTTCAAAATCCACTGTTTTGCAAAAAAATCTTCTTTAAGGAAACATATGTAATTCAGAACTGTTTACTTCCATTGCCACTCTTTAAAAATAATACATTATCATTCTTTAAAAAATAATACATTACAAATGCAACACTGTAATGCTTATGACGATCAGATTTGATAGCTGCAGTGAGAATACTTTAAAATATCTTTCTTTTCTTGAGGTTTGAAAAAAACAGGGATGGACTTACACTCTAACATCAGTAGTTAAATATCTCAAGATCATCAAAATAAAGGACCAGCTTGTACAAATGGAGATACCATTAAATAGATATCCTGTCACTTCAAGAATTTTAACTGAAGTGCAACTAGTTTTATTTCTGTTACCTTCTGAGTGCACCATCAGTAATAAAGGCAAATTCAAGAGCCTGTTGGGAAGGTGCAGAATTTCAGAATTAAGCTACAAGACCCAACTCAGTTTTCATTCTGCAAAAGAGTAAAATAATCAGTGTGCTGAAACTTCAAAACCTCGTTCCCCCAGCTGGTCCAGCCAGGCTGTAGATTGCGAGCAAACAACTCCAAGCATTCCACATCTGGCTTGATGAACTCTGCCAGAACCGCTGTGCAAGAGAAAAAAAGAAGATAACAACAGTGACAAAGGTACAAATAACAATAGTAAACAAATAAAACCTCCCCTGTGCTGCTAGTGGATGAAAAACTGAATGCTTCATTAAAAAAGGGAGAGACAGCAAATTAATTTTGGGGGTTTCATCAAACAGCTGGACTATTTATAGTGAGAAAGTCATTTTAAATAAGTGCCCTTGAGATTCTGAACAATACTGTCAAGGCCTTCAATAGCCTTGATTTATTGATTTTCATTTAGAGAAAGGGAATGAGGATTTATTTCAGCCTCTACATAGATGAGTTCTGAACTTTTCACTAATATGAACCAAACACCTCCCAAAGACTCACTTAGCTCTTATAACACAGGGGCAACATTTCTAAAAATAAATAAAAAAATAAAACCTTTCCTTAATTAAGATCACACTCTTTTCCTCCACATCTTGAAGGGGATAAAAGCATTTTTTAATGACAACTGTTAAAAGGTAAAATAAGAAACACCAGTTAAATAAGCATAGCAGTAAAAGGGCTATAAAAATGCAGGGACTTCTTTTCCCCCCAATACCAACTGAAGAAATATTTATATAACTGTGTTCTTTCATTCAGTAAGATAAACCTCAAATTTCTTCTACAGTTGCGCATTTTTACTGCTTAAATCCAAATAAATAGATGCCTGTCATTAACATCAATTGTGTCACCAATTATGACTGGTATTCTTGGAGCAATAGAAAAAGATCTTGCATTTCACCTGAAAAGTATTATTGCAAACAGTTTATTTTAAACATGTTACTTGTCATACAGAGCCATTTAGTTTGTGGCTGGGTCAAACAAATTCTTAACTAGGTTTCAGGAAATAGCTATGAAGATATTATGTATAAAAATATGCATGAGAAAAGCAAAGGTTTAAGGAGTACCCAAAACAAAGGAGGCAGAAAGACTGAAAAACATATCTATACTAAAAATTACATGTTAAGTTTTTATTCTTGTTACTGAGGACAAAAGAAAAACTATGAAACCATTTCCTTTTTCAAAGGGTATCTTGGTCATTTTTGATCAGATCTCCCAAAGGTTTCTGAGTTTCTGTAGCTTAAAAGTACAGCTCATAAGTCCAACATTATGTTGCTTGACTCAGTCTCTTCAGATATGATCACTGCAGAAAGCAAAATTACATCCAATCAGCATACATCAAAGCATGAGAGGGAATGATTTTTTTTTTTTTGTGGTGCAATCCAAGTTCTGACTTTTGCATCAAGTTTGCCAATCACAGTGTGAGACCCCAGCTGATCTTGTCATGGATTGCTCCTGTTACAGAAAGATGAGCATCCACTTCACTTTCTAGTGAGTGCAGATGCACTTCCTACCTACATGATCACCTCTCCCAAAGCTTCAATCCATTCAAAACTTTTGTAAATATTTTGTAATGGGTGTTTCCAGACTTTCTTGTATTTTGGCATGGTGTATAAATCTATTCTCCTTCCCCCAATCTGTGGCAAATGTCAAATGAATGTCTCCGATGGGTTATCATCAAGGCAGCTTTTAATCTAAAAAATACTGCTACCAGCAGGAA